TTCCATATAATGGGAGGCCAAAGGTCCATGCAGTCCAATATGGTGTACTGAAACCAAGTAGTGTGGGAATGTTAAAACAGATGACTATGGAAGGACTTGGTAGTGATTTATAAAATAAAAATGATGTGGAGACAGAGTTATTTTATTCTCCCTCCTTCATAGCATTCTAATGAAACTGATTGGAAGAAAATTCAGACCAGCACCTGGGTAGCCCATACTAGCCCGATTTCATCAGATCTTGGAACCTAAGCAGGGTTGGCTCTGGTCAGTATTTGGATGGGAGACCACCAAAGAAGTCCACGGTCATGACCCAGAGGCAGGCGATAACAAACCACTTCTCAGTGTCCCTTACCTTGAAAACCCTATGGGGACACCATAAGTTGGCTGTGATTTGACAGCACTTTCCACCACCACAAGGAAGTACCTTTTCCCAAAACATGGTGTAGTGGTTAAGTGTGCAGATTCTAATCTGGGAGAACCAGGTTTGATTCCCCACTCCTCCACTTTCAGCTGCTGGATGACCTTGGGCAAGCCATAGTTCTGATCAGAGCTGTCCTTGAAAGGGCAGTTCTTGATAGAGCTCTCTCAACCCCACCTACCTCACAGGGTGTCTGTTGTGGGAAGGGGAAGGGAAAGGAGTTTGCAAGCCACTCTGAGACTCTGAGTGAAGAGCAGGGTATAAATCCAATCTCTTCTTCCCTTCTACTTTTTCTTCTAACTTACAGTATTTAATTAGAATATTTCTATGCTGCCTCTTCAGAATCCTGTTTGACTCTGAATTTGCTACAAGAAAAGTATGCTTAATTGATTGTGTGCACAGAGCCCGTGCACATACAGCTACACACTGATCTATTAGCTATTATGTTTTTAGCCCATCTTTCCTCCAAGGAGCTCAGGGCAGCATGCATGGTTCTCTTCATTCTGTCATCACAACAATCCTGTGAGGTAGATTAGGCTGAGGGGAAAGTGACTGGTCCCCCACACTGACTCCCAATACAACATAGAGCTCTATGCACACATTCTGCAGACCAGAGAGGTTGGGAGCACACATACCAGCTGGGATCTCTGTCATACATGCACTCAACACATGGAAGGACATGCCCGTCTTGAGGCCATCGTGGGTCTAAAACGCCACCCTGGATTTGAGGAAGGAAGCTTTGGAAGGGAGGCACTCTCTGTGAACATCCACAGTCAGGTGCATGACACACAGAGATGTGATAGAAACAGCTAACCATGCTCTTTGTCTGAAACATCTTAAAAGCAGAGGTGTGTTGCCTTTGAGGCATCCCAGTTTTGCTTCACTCACATTCTTAATGCACATAAAGCAATTGTTTAATGCACATAAAGCAATTGTTTGCTTCCAGAATGCACCAACAGGCTCCATTGTCTTCCTGCATGCTCCAGAAGAAATTGGCCTGAAGCCCAAGGAGTGGGAGGCAGTTGCAGCAACCATGGAGGTAAGTAAAAGAAATAGCCAGGAGAAAAAGGCTGTTCAGTGAATGAAACTAGTTTTGCATCATGCTCCACAGAGCCCCAGTGGCCTCAGCACCGAGAGGGCATTTGTGCCCTCATCCTGCTCTCTGGCCTTCCTCCTTTCAGCTTTAGGAGCAAAGGTTTTGCAGTTCCAGGTAGCTTTAGGAATCACTAGGAACGCTATGATCAGAACACCCTGTAAGCAGACAAGGCCTTATTCTTCTTTTTAACTTTTCTCCCCAGGACGATCATCCCTCCCATTTGCCCCCTGTTTCTGCCCACCAATCAGGTGAGCATTTACCTGAAGGTGTCCCACCATAAGCAGGCAAATGGGAATCCTACCAGTCCCCCCAGGAGCAGGCATTTCAGTCTGCAGCAGGAGAGGGAAGGTGAGAAAGTTCTGCTCCATGGCCAGAAGACCCTTCCATCCATGGAAATTTCCAGTGGATCCACGCCAAAATCTTGTTAGTCTTCCAGTTGCCACAAGACTTCTGTTTGGTTTTGCCAGAGCGGACTAACATGGCTGCCCTTAACTGGTATTTTATGAAACTGTTTCATATTTCTTGTGTACTGAACAAAGGCCTAAAAGCAGTATGTGCATGTTCTAAATAAAGGAATGAAACTCTGTAGAACCCACCCTGCTTGCAGCCTAATTACAATTAGAAACTCTCTGTGGCCTCCCAACCTCTCGTCATTCAAAAGCTGCCGATATCTGCTTCTCCCTCTGCCTCTGTGAAATGGATCGCCCATTCAGGAATCATCTGAACACTCTGGTTCTTTTGGCTAAACCCTTCCTCCACACAGGCAACACTTTAGGCAAAACCATAGCTGGAGCCTAGAGCTGCCAACCTTCAGGTGGTGGCTGGAGATCTCCTGGGATTACAATTGATCTCCATGTGACAGAGATCAATTCACCTGGAGAATATGGCTATCTTGGAAGGTAGACTCTATGACGTTATAAGTAAAGTATACCCCACTGAAGTCCCTCCCTTCCCCAAACACCACCCTCCTCAGGCTCCCCCACTAGGGTTCCCAGGTACTTACCGCAATCCGGCATGGGAAACATGCTCCCCGGCCGAACCATTCCTCCCTGTAACGCACCATGCCGTCGCAAGGAAGTGATGCTGGGCGACGCTCTGGCAATGGGGCTGAAAACTTGATGGTACCATCGAGTTTCCAGCCCCATTGCCAGAGCGTCGCCTGGCTTCAGTTCCTGGCGACGGCATGGTGCAGCGCGTCTGTTGTCCCCACGGGAATGTTCCTGCGAAGACATCTGTGTCCCCCACCGAATCGCAGTAAGTACTTGGGAAGCCTGTCCCCCACCCAAAAAAACCCAAAACTCCAGGTATTTCCCAACCTGTAGCTGGCAACCCTATGTGGAGTCTCATCCTCAGTAATCAGACAGCCAAACAACCAAGGATATGTTTGTTTCCCCCTTCCTCTTGTTCCTTTAGAAAAAACAGCTCTTCCCCTTTTTCAACATTGAAAGTCAAGGCCTGGCTTCGGGAAATCTGGACAGAGATGCCTGGGCCTTGCAGCACTTCGTGGGGCAAGGCTTTGAACTTCTGTGTGCCCAGTCCTTTTCCAGAACATTTGGCTTATATGGTGAGTCTCTGAATTCACAGACAGCTACCTTTCAGGAAAGTGGGCATGCAAGGATTTTAACTTCCTAAGAAGCTACTCCTGAAGACAATTCATCTCATATTTAGCTTTGCTGCTCTTCATTCTGTTACTTTTCCTGTGTCTACGTTTTAGACCAGAGTCCCCAACATGGTGCCAATGGGTGCCATGGTGCCACCAACACCCTTCCTGGGAGCTCCTACGTTTTTAGGAAAGTGCATGGGGCCAGGTGGGGCTTTTGCCTAGCAAAGTTTTTGACTGGCCACTGAAGATTGGCTGTGCTTTACCACAGCACCAGGAGCGTCACTGTATGGCTGAAGGTAAGCGACAGCAGCCATTTTGTGAGTGGCTCAGCCTCCTGCGGCAGCCATTTTGTGGCTGTGCCCACCACCCTATTTCATAATTCCAAAAGTGCCTGCAGTCTCAAAAAAGGTTGGGGGACCCTTGTTTTAGATTATGACCTTGTCTTTTTAGTACTGTGTAAAACACCCTCTTGGGGGGGGCACTGTGAAAATGGGCCTCCTTGTGTTTGCACAATCCTTCATGCACATGAATGCACATCCTTGCATGCATACACATCCTTCCTCCCTTCCTTTTGGGTAAAGGAACAGTGCCACACTCCTTCTAACCCCATCAGTACCGATGGGACAGGGACTTGAAGGAAAGAAAAAGAGCCATGCTCAGATCCTTCGTTGGGTGACTCTTGCAAGGTAACTTTTCATGCCTTGACTCATCTTAAAATTGCCACTTTTTTAGTCCCTTGTTTAGCATTACTAAAGCAACGATAAAACCCAGGGTATAACACAACCATTTGTGGGATGTGCATGAACAACACGTTGACTGCATTTAGATATTAGGCTAAACTGTGGCTTGATTAAACAGCAGTTAATCGTGGTGTCCGAATGCACATGGTTCTTTTTGTTGGCACCAAATGTGAATCTCAGGCTGGGGCTTATAGCTGGCTTGTTGAGCACAATTGGTACTAGTTGTCGTTTGTGGTGACGTCTGAATTCAGAAACCTTGGTTTACTGAGCAGCACCCACCTGGCCACAGAGATGGCAGTACTGTGAGTCTGCTGTCCCTGGGAGGTGGGAGGCAGGAAGCAAACCAACCAGGGTTTATGCTAGGGTAACCATTCCCCAGGTGGGGGCAGGGGAATCCCCCACTTCCACAGGCTCCTGCCCACCACCAGCTGGCTGGCTGGTTGGAGGAAATTTCCTTCACCACCACCCCCAAACAGCAACATCATACCCAACGCAGTGACGTCACCTGGAAGTGACATAGGCACGTCGGTGATGTTGGGGGTGGTGACACTCTGGTTTGGGGGCAAAACTCTTATGGTTTGAGGGCGATTTTACCATAGAGTTTTACCCAAAAACCGGAGCATTGCCCCATCACTGGTGTGCCTACATCACCTCCAGCTGACGTACGCAGGTCATGCAATATCCCCACCCACTCCCAGAATGCCCCCCCATCCCCCCAGCAGCACGATGATCAGATCTGGCAAGCAACCCTAGTTTATGCACAAACCAGGCCTGGTTACTTATGTCTTGTGTTGCACAAACCACAGTTTATTGTGGTGACTAAATACATCCCCAGACAGCTCACAAGCCTTACAATAGGGAATATGCACACACACCAAATCTTACATTCTCCTTCTCAAGAAGTGCATTTGTCCCTTCTTCGATTCCTCTGTAAGTTGTGTGGCTACAAACAAGACATACCCAGAGCTGCCACAGGAGTCATCTATAAAGTTGCAGAATGAGATGGGGGACTCTTGGACTGTACCACTTCAGGTTGCCGGTGGGACATACAATTTTTGAACGTTCACTTACGTTTTAAAAAATACTTGCTTGAAACAACAGTAGAACAAACAAATCTCTGAGTCTTGCCTGCTTCCTGCTTGTGATTTTTCTACTTGCAGGAAGGGGTTTTTTTCCCCCTCACAAGGGAGCATTCCAAAAGCGACCACTATTTCCATTCTGAAATGGTACTGTCTGTTTTACCACTTTTCACTCCCACTTCATTCTGCTGCATGCATGAACCAGACTTTACAGACAGTCATCCCAGCAATCCAGCTAGTGGTTTTTACCCCGCTCTTCTGTATGCATCAGTTAAGTGAGAGCCATGACCACTGCCTTGAGCTCTTTGAAAGAAGGCTGATATAAAAATGCACTGGATAAATATAAGAAGAGATGCAGGTGTACAGTTACCCCATCAGGATTATAAGTAGGCTTGCCGTTTGCCCAGCTGCAACAGGTAAACCCCCTGTCCTCACACCCAGGCCCCTGCCCTTGAGAAATTGAAGAGCGGGATCAGAAATGGCTAGAAAATGGCTGAACCCTGCTGAAGGACCGCTTGAGCAACTCCAGCAACAGTTGACCACTTGAAAAACAAGTATTTTAAAAAAGACACTTCCCAAAGGCCACAGAGGAAAAGGGGCTGAGGATGCATTTCGTTATGATTACATCAGGGCGTGACTTCTCTGCGGCCCCTGCAGTTCAGAGCCATGGCAAGACTTGGATTGGAAAGGAAGAACTGCACATCCCTGTGATGCATAACTACACTAGCTGGGTAGTGCTGGAGTCCCTCACCAGCTCAAAGGAGGTTATCATAGCTGTATGGAAACACTAGAGGTCCCTGCAGACAAAGATAAAAGTATTCAGAAATTAGAAAGAGGGATGAGCGAACTCTTCACTGCAGTTTATTTCCCACTTTTACTTTTACTGGGAGAAATTGCAGAATTTCTCTTGTAATACCACCAAGTCCCTACTACCTTGGTGCTCATAATGACATTCTCCTTCCCTTCTTCACTTGGTTGGCAACCCTGTTTTTTAAAAACTAAAAGTATAGCTTGGCCATTACTTTAAAAGAACCTTTTCTCCTCTTAATTAGTCTCTCAGCTACAGGTTGCAGGTATGGAGTTGGTAGAGTGGATAGGAATTATATTGCATAAGTAATTAGCTGGGGCAGGAGATCTGAGCGTACGTGTTGATTCAGATACAAAATGCCATGTCTGGGTTATGTACTACAATCCCATGTTCCGTGTATGAAAAATGTGTTGATTCAGATACAAAATGCCATGGCTGGGTTATGTACTACAATCCCATGTTCCATTCTGCTCCTTCATGCAGATGAGCTGGCGGGGAATCTTATTGTGGTGACCAAAAACAATGAGACGCTGATCAGAATCCAGTCCCAACTGGGCAGGCAAATATGCACAACGTGGTGGTGCCCCTCGAGCTTGGGGGCCCGGGTCATTGGAACAGTGCTGAATAGCCCTGCTCTGCTGTACGAGTGGTAAGGAGGAAAGCAGGTAACTTAGTTGTTGGAGTGGATGTATGCTTTGATCGGGGTTCATTGTGGGCTACCCACCCCCTTGTAATCATTGCTCCACTTAATAGCAGTGGCCAAGGACGTATCATTGGTGGAGCAAAACAAGGCTACCAAAGACAAGGTAAAGATCTGTACCGGTTCAGGATGCAAACCTAAGTATGCTGAAAAATATGTCCACAAATTAAAAAAGAGGCAGAATCGCCACCTCCTCAAACAGCCTGCTAAGGACTGTTCCGGAGTTGTAGCCATGTTAGGACTGAACATGTTGATCGTCCTCCAGGAGACATGAAATGCTGATGGCAGTTCAGTGTCAGTTGAAGGAGGGGGGAGACGGAGTAAACTGGCCTGCTTATCTCTAACAGATAGTGTCATGGAGGGTGTGAGGCACATGTTTCCCTCTCCCCCAGATGCTCTCATACAGCCAAGGTAGAAGGAGGTTACTCCTCCCAGTGCTCTGTGTGTGTGTGTGTGTGTTTGTGTGTGTAAAGTGCTGTCAAGTCACAGCCAACTTATGGTGCCCCCAACAAGGGGCTTTCAAGGCAAGTGAGAAGCGAGGTGGTTTGCCATTGCCTTCCTCTGAAGAGTCTTCCTTGGTGGTCTCCCTTCCAAGAACTGACCCTGCTTAGCTTCTGAGATCTGACAAGTTCAGCCTGTGCCATGCCACTTTCCCTCTCACCCCATGCTTCATTGATTATTTATTCAAAACCTTTATCTCCCTCTCCCAAAGGAACCGAGGCAATATGAAAGTTAGATCTAGGGAGTCACGGCTGTTGTGGCCCACCCATACACAAGAGCCTTCACTTACTGCTGCTGCCATCAAGCAATGAGAATCCATGTCTAAACCAGGCCAGGATTATTATTAATTACTTCTAAGTAGAACTGAGCCTTCCCTAGCATCTTAAGAAATGTGGGCCGCTTTCGCAGGGAAGGTTTTTTTGCTTTTGCTCTTTTAGGCGGAGCATCCACATGGAGTTGTGCTCCAATCATCCTTTCAGTGTCCTCAGGATAATCTTCCCCGAAAGTGCTCTGCTCTGTATGTTGTGGGAAGAGTCCAGTTGTCATATTGTCTGGACAGGGTGGCAGTTCAGTGTCAGTTGAAGCAGGGGGGAGACGGAGTAAACTGGCCTGCTTATCTCTAACAGATAGTGTCATGGAGGGTGTGAGGCACATGTTTCCCTCTCCCCCAGATGCTCTCATACAGCCAAGGTAGAAGGAGGTTACTCCTCCCAGTGCTGTGTGTGTGTGTGTGTGTGTGTGTGTGTGTGTGTGTAAAGTGCTGTCAAGTCACAGCCAAAGTATGGTGCCCCCAGCAAGGGGCTTTCAAGGCAAGTGAGAAGCAGAGGTGGTTTGCCATGGCCTTCCTCTGCAGAGTCTTCCTTTGTGGCCTCCCTTCCAAGAACTGACCCTGCTTACCTTCTGAGATCTGACAGGTTCCGCCTGTGCCATGCCACTTTCCCTCTCACCCCATGCTTCATTGATTATTTATTCAAAACCTTTATCTCCCTCTCCCAAAGGAACCGAGGCAATATGAAAGTTAGATCTAGGGAGTCACGGCTGTGATGGCCCACCCATACACAAGAGCCTTCACTTACTGCTGCTGCCATCAAGCAATGAGAATCCATGTCTAAACCAGGCCAGGATTATTAATAATGACTTCTAAGTAGAACTGAGCCTTCCCTACCATCTTCAGAAATGGGGGCCGCTTTCTCAGGGAAGGGGTTTTTTGCTTTTGCTCTTTTAGGCGTAGCATCCACATGGAGTTGTGCTCCAGTCATCCTTTCAGTGTCCTCAGGATAATCTTCCCCGAAAGTGCTCTGCTCTGTATGTTGTGGGAAGAGTCAAGTTGTCATATTGTCTGGACAGGTAGGGGTTCATTTTTAAACGTCCTATCCACATTAGCCCCATTTTCCTTCTGTCAGCCCTTCATGGCCACCCTTTTTCCCCACTGTGCCACGGCAGGGCTTTAAAAAAAAAATCAGAAATTGCTGTAGCATTATAACAACTCACAGCTTCCCTCAAAAGATCCTTCAGTGGTGCAGGAGAGGAAAAAATGCAGGGCAAACGGTGGCTGGTGGAAGAAAGTGCAGAAAAGTGCTGTGTAGAAGCTTTATTGCCAATGTGGCAATGAAGGCAAAACAGAGAATCCCAGCCATGTGGCCGTGGGCTACACCATCAAGCTGCGATCGTGCACCACTGCCTTCGCCAGCCTCGAGAGCCAGTGTGGTGTAGTGGTTACAACAATGAACTGGGATCTCAGAGACTCAGGTTTGGATCTCTATTCCGTCGTGGAAGTTTGCCGGGTGACTCCCTCTCAGCCTACCCTCCCTCCCAGGGTTGTTGTGAGGATAAAATGGAGGAGGGGAGATGGTTGTAAGCCTCTTTGGGTCCCCACCGAGGAGATAGGCAGGGTATAAATGAAGTAAATGAGAGAGAAAAAAAGAAATCTTAAGTTTTCAGGTCAGTCGGGAAAATGTTTGGAGAACTAGGAGCACCAGAGCAGAAATCTTAACGCCAGCTCTTGTCCTCAGGAAACTGAGTCTCCGGATGGTGGTAGAGAGGATCATGCTGATCAGGGAGAAACTAAAAGAGAAGCTGCGGATCCTGGGGACACCCGGCTCCTGGGAGCATCTCACAGCCCAGTCGGGAATGTGTAGCTTCATTGGGCTCCAGTGTAGGTATCCAATCAGGGCCACTCTGTTGCTCAAGCTGCGTCTGGGCAGCGTCCCTCCCAAGTACTGCGGTCCAAACCTGCCAGTCGTGATTCCCCTTCAGCCCCTTCCTTGCCATGATGAGCAATGCTCTGAAGCCAATAAAGGGGCTACTGTGGATTCCCCGTTCCACTCTTACTTGAAAAGTACCTCCTTCATCTCATCCCATCAAATGCTCCTTTGAAAATAGCCCTAAAAGAAGGGAATCCAATCATTGCATGTATTCAGAAGGTGAAGGAGTAGGTGGAACACAGGCTGTGAATGGCTTATAGAATCTCCAGTGTTGCTTTCCACAAAACTTTTAAGGGTGAGAGTACATTCTTGGAATCAAAGCTATGTCTCAGTGCATGAAAATGTAACATCAGGAAGGAGAGCATGCACCCATCTGTTTGGGAATGAAGAACAGTACTGAGCCATCTTTCATAAGCGATTCTGGAGTTTGTATATCTTCATATTGGGGAATCAGTGAGCTGTAGTGAAGTCTTGGACTAGGCAGGCCTGGATAAAAATCCCCAATCAGCTTGCTGGGTGATCTTGGGCCCATCATGGTCTCTGAATAGCTAACCTGACTCACAAGGATATTGTAAGGATAACATGGGAGACAGGACTCTGGAAGATGGGCAGCATTTTTAAAAAGTGATGGGATCTTATGTATGCAGTGTTACAATTCCATGCATCTTAAAGCAGGTAGGTGTTACAACAGTTATATGGCACACAGCACTGCTATATTCATTTGCTCTGTTACAGCCTGTCCTGTGCTCATTTGAAAGCAAAATGGATATTTATTCTTTTGCTGAAGATACATTATGAAGACATGATTACTATACATCGTATTGTCTATCAGCAGTTCAGAATGAGAGCCATTCTGTGCAGTGTGGTGCAGTGGTTAAAGTGTCAGACTAGGATCTGAGAAACTCAGGTACAAATACCCACTCTGCTGGGGAAGTTTGGTGGGTGACGTTGGGCCAGGGTTGTTGTGAGGATAAAACAGAGGGGAGGGGAACAACGTGTGCCACTTTGGGTTTCAGCTGGGGACGAAGGCAGAACATAAATAAAGAAAATAAATAAAAAGCCAGGCTGCATTACATAGTGCCTTAGTGTTCATGCACGCAGCATTTACATGCATGTGCACTGGAGAAAAGATGCATCCATCCCCACCCTACTCAGAGATTTAACTTCCATGGATTTGGGTAGTGAAGCTCAAACCTGAACAAGAACTTGCACATTGGCAAAATTAGGCATCCCCCAAAAGTCAAAATAGAGACAAAATATGAAGCAGTCATTGATCCAGAACCATTCCTAAAAAAGCTGGGCCTGCCTCTGGTAAATAGAGAGCATACATTTCTGGTCTTAGCTGGTTGTATGGGGAGGAGAATGAATAACCTTACTTATATCCTGCCAGCTTCCCAGGTGGAGTTCCTAGCGAAGCACAAACACATCTACCTCTTTGAAAACCAGCAGATCAACATCTGCAGCATTAACTCAAAGAATCTGGACTACGTCGCACAGAGCATCCACGAAGCAGTGTTAGCCACCTCTCTTGGGGACTACAATTTGGACTTGGAAGGTGTTGACAGGAGCTGAGCCAAGAAGTCCCAGGGGCCCAGGCAACGTCTTTAGAAAGGCTTGCAGATATAATAAACGGTGTTTTGGAAATCCTGTGTGTGTTAATGCTTGAGAGGTCCTGGCTTTTCCTACTTCCTTTTCCTCCGATACCAAAGAAGGCCACTGAGTGAGAAAGTGGGAGCTTTTCACAGCCTGATCACGTGCTAATTACACTGGATGAAGCTGAGCAAGCTAAAATATACATTCCGTTTGTAAATTAACATCTTCTGCATCCTATCCCACATTAATGGCATTCACACATGCGCTAAAATACTGTGAGAAAGGATGCTTGTATGAGAATGTTCTAACACTGTTGCTTCTTTAGGATTTGTGGGTGATTAACCATTGGTTTCATACTTATCGAAAAGTCAACAAATCTCACATGTAATTAACATTGTTGTCAACAGGGCCATCAATGATGTACAGAGTACTAGAAGGCAGGGCCCTGCCTGTAGGAGCTCACAGTCTGAATGGTGGCACAAGGGGGGCAGTAGAGATGAGGAAGAATGGGCATTCATGTCAGTTGCCTAGAGGGTGATTCTGCATCCAGCGTTCGCACCACATTTTCTCAACACTGGCTTTTCTCTCCTTTTTTTTTTTTAAGCCAAACTCATGTTGGAACAGAAATTCCCCTCTGCATTGCATGCTGCTTTCACTTCCTTTGATCATAGGATTTTATGGTACCCTCTGCATTGCATGCCACTTTCACTTTCTTTGAGCATTGGGTTCAGGGTACCTCCTGCATAGATTTATGGCTGTTTTATGACCATTCAGGGGTGACACTCCAGTCAGTATGGCATTGCCCTGAGGTATTTGAATGTGGTTTTGAGCTGCCCCTTTTCTTCAGTGTTGAGAAAATGTGGAGCAAATGTCAGATGCAGAACCAGCCCCTGAGGAAAAGGTGCAACTCAAAACCACATTCATATACCCCAGGGCAATGCCATACTGACTGCAAAGTCACCCCTGAATGACCGTAAATCTATGCAGAAGGTACCATAAAACCCAATGGTCAAAGAAAGTCAAGGCAGCGTGCAATGCAGAGGGGGATTTATTTCTGTTCCAACATGGGTTTTGTAAAACAACGGAGGGAAAAGCCAATGCAGAATCGCCCCTAGTTTCAGGAGAGGTTGAGGACCAAGGGGGTTGTGCCAAAGTCTTCATAGGAATGGGGGGGTTTGGAGGTGGGAGGAAGAGGAAGTGAGAGCATCATGTTGAGACAAGCAAAAGTGCAGCAAGGAGAAAGGAGAGAGTCAAAGGAAGGGTCAGCAATCTTTCCAGCATCCAAGGATGAGAGAATGGATGTTGGCAGAATGAAGGTCACATGAGGGGATAGGAAGCTAGTGTGAGGTGCTGAAACATCAGAATTGCAAGAGAGGTGAATCAGTTTGCAAGACTAATGAAGAGCTTTCTGTCTGCCTTGACATTTCAGAGGTGACTGTGCTGTAGTGATAACCTGTAAATGAAAGCCAGCAGGGCCCAGCTGGGCTTATCACTGAGACATGATTTTACTGGTTTGATCAATAACGTCACATATTCGCATTGGCTGGGAGCTAGTACTGGGAGTGAAAAGCCAGGGAACTTCATAGTTGGCCTGACAATGGGGTGTGGGTTTTTTGCTACTGCATTTCTTCATGCTGTCCCATTGACGTCTGGCAGCTTTACAGCAGTTTTGCAGCACTCTCATTCAGCAAGATACACACCGCTTTCAGGCAATAACCAGATGCTGCTTTTATCCAATGGATGTAGGAACAACTGGGTGCCAAACACCACCTGGAAGTCTTTTGTTACTTGTTTGCACCAGCCTATATTCTCTTGGAACTTCTAGATAGCTCTTATAAAGAGTTCCTAGGTAAGCACAGAGGGTGCTTCAGACTGTGTCTGCTGTTCCCACCATATCAGCCCCACTGGAGGCCAATCTAGGTCCATTACCTATCTGATAAATGGAGGAAAGAAAGCAATAAACCTGCCCCCTTTCCTCTGACAGAGACTCTGTACCTTTAGCAGCTGAATGATGGGCACACATTTCCATGACCATCTTTTTACCAGTATTGCTTCCCTGTGCAGAGCAAAGGTGCACCAGTTTGGATCTTCTGCCTGCTGTGCAGCTGTTCAAGGCACAGAGCGTTTTTCAGTATGGTGAAGGTGCTCTGTAAATCGGGGTGAATCTTTTGTTACCAGAATGAAAGTGCCAACAGTGTTAAGATTATGTCTTATGCAGCTAGCCTACTGGGCTACCTTTGTTTGACAAAGTCAGAACCCTGACAAAGTAGTCTGCTTTGGGATACGAAGACAGATTTTCAAGCAGGTCTATGCAAGTCCCATCAAGTTTTTCTGAATGACTCTGTGTGGCTTCTGTGCAAAACACTCTCCTTCCTTTTTGCTTGTGGTGCTCAGTAATTGGCTCTTGCAGACTAATTGGTTTTTGCAGCTGTAGTGACAGATGTCCAGGGTGTTCTCCGAGATTGGATGGATCCTTTTTACTGGGTTCTTTTAGTAATAACCATTTTGTTTAAAATTCAGCAGCACCCTGACGTGTTGGTTGCTGGACTGAATCTTGGAATAGTCCAATGCTGGCACCAGTAATGAAAGCTAGTGTGGTGTAATGGTTAGAGTGTTAGACTTGGATCTCGGAGACCCAGGTTCAAACCCCACTCTGCTATGGAAGCTTACTGGGTTGCCATGGGCCAATCACTCTCAGCCTACCTCTCAGGGTAGATGAGAGGATAAAATGCAGGAGAGAGTGGTTTGGGTCCCCATTGTGGAGAAAAATGGAATATAAATATCTGAATGAATCAAACAAGTCCTAAAATACCAACAATTTCAGTCTAGGTAGATTTCAGGAGTGCTTTGATCTAGAACCCTCTTATTTGTCTTTTTGACAGTCCACGGTATCCATAAAACTCTCTTCCAACACCACATTTCAACTGAACCATCTTTCTTCCTGTCAGCTTTCTTCATCACCCAACTTTCACACCCATACATAGTAAGCGACAGTGCCATACTATGAATTATTTCAATCTTGGTCACCAGCAACACATCCTTACACTAAAGGATCTTTTCTAGCTCCTTCATGGCTGCTCTTCCCAGTTTCAATCTCCTACTGCAGTCTCCCTTTTGGTTGATGATGGAGCCAAGGAACAGAAAAACTGATGATTTCAGTTTCTTCAACATCAACTTTAAAGTTGTGTGATTCCTCTGGATGGTCAACTGTAATTCTGCTTTGGCGCTTTCTGCTTTAACCTTCATTAGGATTCCTTTCAAGTCCTCACTGTTTTCTGCCAGTAATGTGGAATAATCTGCGTATCTCAAATTGTTAATGTTCCTTCTGCTAATTTTCACTCCACCTTCATCTAAATCTAATCCTGCTGTCTTGATGATATGTTCTGCATACAGATTGAAGAGACAGGGAGATAAAATACATCCATTCTATTTCTCCATCTTCTGTCCTAACAGTAGCCTGTTTTCCAGAGTACAGGTTGCACATCAAAAAAATCAGAAGTTGTGGCACACGAGAGTGAAGAGTTCCGCTTCCGGGTCTGACGAGGATGGTCGTTCGCTGAGAACTCCGTGCATACTATCGTCTTTCCTAGTACTTTCCAGGTAATACCAACGCCTAAATCTCCTCCTGAAGAGAGGAGAGCAGCAAGGGACTTAAGCCGAAGCAGCGGGATGAGCAAAATCCCTGTAGAAGGCTCGTCTCAGAAGTGGGAAGTATTGAGGACGCAGACGGGGCGCTCCACGCCTCCGCCGCGAAAGCCATGCCCAGCCGAACCATTTGGAGTCGTTACAAGTACAACTCTGATGGCGCAGGAACTAACAAACTAAGCTAAGTATATTTTAAATGTGGAGAACCCGCTAAAAAGCATAATAAAAGTAATTAACAAAGTTATATAAGTTAAGGGAAAGGGGACTCTCTTTGAACAGGGGAAAGCACAGAGAAAAGCAGCAAGTTTTTTGTAAGCTCAGGCTAGCGTTACCTTCTTAAATACAGACAGAGTCTCGCTCTTGACTAGTGGAGTAAAACCTACATAATCTGTCTCTGTTGTTTCTTCTTGGCATATCTGACTTGACGCTGGAGCGGTGGTCCCTTTAACAGAGCAAGATGGAGCGAGAGGCAGATACGGGAGATCGGGAGATCGGGAGATCATGGTGGCTGAGTCAGCATTCCAGTGATGTCACACAGAGTGACGCAGACAGAGAAAGACCAGTGAGAAAATTTCCTGAAACAAGAGAGACCTCTACAGGCAAGAAGAAAGAACTGCAGACAACATTTTTTAAAGGAGACCTGCAGACAAGCTGGCAACAAGAGACAGAAACGGAGACGAGGAGAACAACTGAAATAAATTAAAGAGACAAAACTGAAAGTAAACTTAAAAGAGTGTAGCTGAAATACTAGTGGAAAATATAAGATAGTGCACGGATTTAGGTATCCGCACACCAGGGGGCGACTTGGCTGTTTTACTAGTGGAAAATATAAGAGATATAAGAGACAAAGTAGGAAACGAAGAGGGGAAATAGTATAAATTGATACAGACAATATAAAAGATAGAAATGGAAAAAAACAGGAATTCCTTTGTAGGGTAAACATAAATATATTGGTAAACAAAAGCTAATATATGGCATCCGGCTCTGGCAACATTAGGAAAAGCTCAGTTCCTTCTCCAAGTCAAGCAGGTATTACATCTTATTTAAAAATGAGTGTGGGGCAGATGAACATTAAAGAATTTAAGACTTTAATTATAGAATGTGTAGGGCAAGCTATGCCAGCGCTTATGAAAAAAGAAATTGAACCTATACAACAAAAGATGGAGGAAATTTCAATTCAAATTAAAACTGAAACAGATGAAATTAAAAAACAAATATGTGAATATAAAGTAGAAAGCTGAAACAGATGAAATTAAAAAAACAAATATGTGAAAATTAAGTAGAAATTTCAAAAATAGCCGCAAATACTTTTAAACTGGAAAAAAAACCCGGAG